CTTGGGAAACTGAGACAGGAGAATGGCTTGAACCCGGGAGGCAGAGGTTGAGTGAGCCGAGATCATGCCACTGCACTCCAGCCTGGGTGACAGATTGAGACTCTGTCTCAAAAAAAATAAAAAATAAAAAAGAGAGAGATTATTAAGGAAAAAAAGAGTAAAGAGAGATGACCCTCACACTCAATACCTTCAAGCTCAAAAAGAATCGCAAATGAGGTGTGATGTTCAATTATGAGGCGGGGTAATGCATGTCAGCTTTCCAATGACCTTTAGCAAGGTCTCCTTAATTTTAGAAGGGCTTCAGATCATAGTAAATGAAAGAACTAAAATAGATAAATAATTGTTCCCCAGAACACCCTCCTCATCCCCTCATGGGAAAATCAGTTTATAAAAACTCAGTCCACAGCTTGAAGGTCTCTGACCATGTTACAACCCGGCCCAAGGACAAGGGGAAGGAGGAGCATTCAGGGAGAAGTGAGAACACAGGAAGCCACGTACTCAACACCGTGGTATGTTCAGCAGAAGGAAGAGGACTCCCTAAGACCCTGCAGTGATGGATTTTTGTAAGTGTCCAAGCCTAGAACCTCAGGATTCTTGATGGGCTAAATCTTCAAAGCAGTATTAATTTTCTTTAACAGCACCAGTTTGTCTTTAGAATCCACATCTTCCTGATAGATGGCATCCTTTCTTCTTCATAAGAAAAACAACCTTCAAAACTCTTAAGACTCAAGATTTCCTAATGAAAATGCTCCAAAGTGGCTCCTAGTCTCGCGGTGTTTGGCTCACTTGAAAACATCTAGCATGTCAAGAAAAATAAACTGTATCGCCCCCTCCAATTCTGAAACTAAAGTCTATACAATTCCAGCCTCTGCCAATTTCCTGTTTTCCCGTCTTGGAGGTGACTAAGAGTTCCTGGAGCCTGGAAAATACACAGCTCCCCTCGAATCTTCCCGCCCTAGTCCCTCCATCCAGGAGCAGGGAGGTGAGCAGTGGCCACAGCTGCAGTTTTTGAGTGTTTTGAAACTGATAGGTTCAACACAAATCATTTGAATGACTCCTTTAAGAGTTTAGGGGAAAGGGGCAGATGGTAACTACTATTGTAAGTATCTATCTGAGAAGCATCATGCTAGTGGTATTGGCTATAACTTTAAGTTTTTGACTGTCTTTACTCAAGTCAGTTACTTCTTCAAGGGTTGCAAAATGGTTACTTTCTTTTTTTAAGATGGAGTCTCCCTCCATTGCCCAGGCTGGAGTGCAGTGATGGGATCTCAGCTCACTGCAACTTCTGCCTCCTGGGTTCAAGCGATTCTTATGCCTCAGCCTCCTGAGTAGCTGAGATTACAAGCGGCCACCATCATGCCTGGCTAATTTTTGTATTCTTGGTAGAGACAAGGTTTTACCATGTTGGCCAGGCTGGTCTCAAACTCCTGACCTCATGATCCACCTGCCTTGGCCTCCCAAAGTGCTGGGATTACAAGCGTGAGCTTCTATGTCTGGAGAGTACTTTAAGTCATCTCATGCCCAGAGGCAGCGCTCTTTCCGGCTTTCAGCCTGTGAGTTTATGCTGATCCTGTGAACCCCTCTGGCACCCACTTCATCTGTTCCCTGTCTTCTTCCTTGTGGAATGTTCTTGATGACTCTGAGAGGCAATTAAAAATCGTGGTGGGCTGGGGCAGTGGCTCACACTTGTAATCCCAGCACTTGGGAGGCTGAGGCAGGTGGATCACCTGAACCTGGGAGGTGGAAGGAGGTTGCAGTGAGCTGAGATGGCACCACTGCACTCTAGCCTGGACAACAGAGTGAGATCCCGTCTCAAAAAAATTTTTAAAATGTTGCGTATCATTCCCATTAGGTTACCTCAACTTCATTTTGGATTCTGTGAAGGGAGTTTTGAAGGCTAGGAGCTGATCCTGTTTTATCGGAGTAGAAAGAATATGGAAACATTTCTGCCTTGTCCTTCATGTTTGATTGATACTTTTCACTTTGAAAGCTAATTATATCTGATGTGAAGGAAAGATGAATTCAGAAATATAGATGCTCTTTTCATGAGTTTTCACTGTAAAAATTCAGGTCATCTGTTCAGTTTCCTCATGCCTCAGTTTATTGCTCTCCTAGCTAATGTGATATTCCCAGTTTTCTTAGACTAGGAGAGGACCAGGAATAGGAAATCCTGCCATTTGCAGCAACATGAATGAACCTGGAGGACATTGTACTAAGTGAAATAAACCAGGCACAGATAGAAAACACTACATCATCTCTTTTTTATGCAGAATCTAAGAGAGTCGAACTCATAGAAACAGAGGCTGGGAGGGTGGTTATCAAGGAGCTGGGTCGTGAGAATCCATGGTCTCGTAGAGTCTCGTCCAGGAAGGACCACTACGGTTGCTCCGTCTGACCCTTCGCTCATCTTAGGAAAGCTCTTCAGAGTGTCCCTGACCGGTGACGTTCAGCTCCCAGGTGACTCTTCCAGGAACCGGAGATGTCCAGATTCAAGCAACCATTTCGTGTCTGAATAGGTCTAATTGTAAGAATGCTCTTTCTCATACTCCAGTGTCTTCCTGAGGCATCTACCTATCGGTTTAACTTTTGCCTATCGAAGCAAAGTGAAAACAGATGGAATCTTTCCCTCGTGTTGTCTCTTCAGGTTTGACTTCTCTTTTATAGAGATATTTGTAACTTGTTTGTGGTACACTGTAGAAGAGCATTTTGACAAAATAAATGTATCATTACCTTTGTCACATTCGGTTCTGTTATTGGTGAACTCCCAATTAAACACAGACATGTTCTGGTAATGTGGGAAGCTTACTGGGCATGCTTGCTCCATACACAAGGCTTCTGAGACAAGGAGGTGAATTGCTGTACCACACAGCCTAAGCCCTGACTGGGTGATTACTGTTCTCTCATCTGCAGTGTTGACACAATCAGTGAGATGGCTGTACTGTCAGGGTCTGACCAGGAAGAAAAGGACCTATGAGTGTTCAGAGGACTTTCAGATGAGACAGCTTGAATAGGTTTATAAATGGCAGCATTTAATCAAGAAACGATAGCACCAGCTAGGAGAGGTTTTTACTTAAGACCCTGACTTCAGGGGTGGAAGAAATATTGTTTATTTGTTTAACTAATATTTGTTGAGTATCTACTATGTGCCATGAAATGTTCTAGATGTTTGTTTTATGTCAGAGTCAATGAACAAAAATTCCTGTTCTAATAAATCTTAATTCTGGCGAGGGGACTTAAAAAATATGCATTACAACATTATAATAAGTAAGTAAATTACATTGTAGGTTAAAAGGTGGCAAGTTCTTTAAAGATAAAAAGAAACAGCCGGGTTAGGAGCAGGAATCCTGAAAGGTGGCGGTGGCTGTGGTGACCGTGAGCGGGTGTTAGGACGGTCTCGTGTCTGGGAGAAGGTAACAGCTGGACCAAGAAACTTACACGAATGACCAGGAAGGGAGCAAAAAACTAAGAGAAAGTAAAATATAAAACTGTTATCCTGAGTATTTTAGAAGTCACAGTAGAAATGACGGAGGGTTGCCGTTAAAATGCTGTGATTTGGTCATTGTCAACCAAGCTTTGTGAAAGTAGAGCTTGTCATGGTGTGGTTATTCACGCTGAGATTTCCCCTGGGCTGAGTGTGGGCAATGCCCGAGAGTAGAGTGATGTAAAGCCAAGACTTGATTTGTGAAACTGCATGATTTGAGGGGCAACCCTGCAGGGTCCCAGCCACAATCTACACGGACCGACCAAGGCAGGAAGGGTGGGGCTGATCCAAGATGGCGCCTCCACAGCGCAGAAGGGGACAAAGAAACCCACCAGTGTAATCAAAGATGAGAAAAAGGCAGAGAAGAGAATTCTTAGTCCTGCCTATTTTAACTGAAGGAATAGTTAAAATATACCTCACAGGCTCTGTCTCTCTGCACTGGTCTGAAAGCAGATTAAAGCAGGGAGATAAATCCGGGAGACACCCCCCCACACATGCACACACCCTCCCCAAATTGAGCTGAGGAGGAGGCATTTGCATATTCTCTCAGTTTCTATCGCGCTTAGAAATGTTGGAAAGGGTATACCTAAGGCCTAAATCCTAAAGAAACTTACTGCTAAGCCAATAGACGGAAGGTAGATTTGAAAGCATGCCTGGGGTCCAGAAAGGGAAAGGACAGGGCCTTGTCAGGAGGGACTGTCATCTCAAGGGTTAAATTCTATTGAAAAGGAGATCACAAATTGGGAGCACATAAAAGGGACAGTCTTACTCTTTGAGGCTTTGGAATCATCCTCGCGACAGATCTCTACCGTGGACTGCCCTGATGTTCCCTCCACCACAGGACAGCTTCCCTGGGCACCTAAATGAGTTTTGTGTGCTGTATTGTGAGGGACACACAGAGAGACCAGAAAGCCATGGGAACTCAGGTCACAGCAATGCAGGATCTAATGAATGGGGTCCTCACCCCCCAGCACGATACTTTTACTCCAGGACTTGGGACAGCTGATTCCAGCCATTAGGCAAGGGCAATAAGGAATTGAAGGGCCTATGAGATTATTTGAGAATTGAAACATGCATTGGCTCCCCCAAGGAAAATGATACAATTCAAATTAATAAGCATTTTATCTGCAGAAATGGCATCAGGATGATCTCAATTGTTAAATTTGGTATTAATAAAAATGACACCACCCTTGAAAACAATGTATAGATTTTCCTCTCTCGCAGGCAAGAATTCCTAAGTAGGCACAAGAACTGCCAGGAAGCCACTGCCAATCATGATTTAAATTATTCATAGCCAAAAAATTTCAAAAGCAAAATTACAATTTTAAAATTTATTTTTATAGCAAAAAAATACCCTCTATATTTAACATGGGATGCATGTACATTTTAATATGTGTGATACCGAGTGGGGTTGGGACCTCCAAAAGTGACAGGGTCTAGGACTGAGAAGGTGTGAACGCAGCCCTAACCTAAGGTCATACGTTGGATGTCAGGGAAACAAGCATCTCCTCAATTCATACAGTTGGAAAGTGAAGGTCTATGAAGATAAAATAGCAGTTCTATTACAGGCATTAAAGAAAAGATCTCCAGTTCATGTGCCAGGGTTGTGGGTTAGGCAAGCCGCTTTGCTCCAGCTTCCTGGGGGCCGGCTCTGCCCAGCCTCCCACCTTCACCCCTGCCTCCTCCTCTTTGCATAACGTGGCCTCATTCATTTACTTCAGTAGCTCCTTTCTGGAACAAATTCTCACATCGCAATCCTTTCCAGAATGCTACAGTAACAGAGTTCTCAAAGGCTGTGATTGATGGGCTTTGAAACACTCTTTCTTTTTGGAAATATTTATATTTGATCCCTTTGGACAGACTGCACATAACTAGAGCTTATCACGTTGCTGGAAATTATGGGCAGAGTCGAAGAGACAGGAACCCTGAGTCGGCCGAGCCCCGGGAGAGCAAAGATTAATATCCATTTGCGCTTTGCTGTCCTCAACCCTGATAACTGTAAATAACGTTTGGAAAAGATCGGGGTGCATCATGATCTATTACATGGTGGCGACGATTCTGGTTGTTATGTCTCCCACAGTGATTTATCATTCTCTGCAGTGACACAACTCATGGTCCTTGCCTGCCACTCTGGAAGGTATGATCTGCTGACTGGAACAGTGATGAATTTGTATTTATATCATAATATTTTTAACCTGAGCTAGACCTGACCTCCTACTCCAATTTGTAAATGTACTAAAAATATAGTTTTGTAAATCTCTGTGGTTTTGCTGGTGTTATAATAAAAAACACTTTTTCTCTTTTGGGGGGGCTAATGTGAACTAGTGTAAATAATGAGATATAATAATAATAATAATGTCAAACTGTGGCTAAAACATTGTCTCAATTGTTTTCTTACCTGTAAGAGATTAATATAACCTTGACTTGTTCCAGCAATTGGCAACCTCAGAGCTATTAAGCTGAAGGCCTTGGTAGTTTTTTCAAGACCTGAAAACCAAGACGGGTCTACTAATCTCTCTCTGGTGTTTGTTGGAAATGTGTGTGGGCTCCGTGGACAAGTGTTTGTGTCTGTGTGCATTACACTTGCTCCACGAGGGGCAGGCAATTGAACTCAGGCCTTTCAAAGGCTGCCCCTTAATGCAGTCATTTTCTCTGAAAATAAGGTCCAGGGTCTTGAGATCTTTAGGAAGTTCTACATGAAAATTCTGTATTTCTTTCCACCACATTTCTTTTTGTGAAGTGTGGGAGTTATATGAAATACAAAAAAAATAAAAAATAAAAAAATTTAAAATCTCATCATTCTTTCTCAAATGATCTTTGTATGCTATTCAAATTGATCGTCTTTTTTTTTTTTTAATTATTCATATGAAGAACCCAAGGATCTGGGGTTAAGAAATAATATTTGAATGGCAACTATTCGCATTTAAATGGACAACTTAGAAAGCAAATGCATTTGAGACCAAAGACTTTTTTTTAAGGTATTTGTGCTAGATTCTCAGCTTTGAGACAGCATATGCAATAATTCTCCAACCTGGCAAAGCAGTGAAGTGGGGGGGTTTCCAAGTGTTGCACCTTGATCACAGCATTGCCCCCTCACCTCCTCATCGGTCATGGGTTCTAGGCTTGCCTTCTTTACCCAAAGCCCTCACAGTCTCCTTGGTCACTCACAGACTGACTCCTACTTTCAAATGCCTATCAGTGAGCTAGGATGACAAATTTGCCTGTGATCATGTGCTGAAGCGATATGCATTTTAGCTGAAGCCTCTTGGAATCAGCTCTCGTGGCACTGCGGAAGCCTGCAGTGACTTCGAGGGCGGAATCTCAGGTGAGTGTGAATCCAGGGAAGAGTGGAAGCATGTTGGTACCCGTTATACCCACCATCTCACCTGACAACGAAGAGGCCATTGCTTATGCCGCCTTATTTTTCTAATTTTTAAATGGAGAATTTCGAGTCACTCTCAAAACAATAGAAATTTCACAAGTATCAGACTGACATGAATTTGCTTATTTCAAACCCAGAGGAAGAGAAATGACAATGAGTTTTCAATACATACCAGTACTTTGCACAGTACTTTGTCACATATAGTGGGTTATTAATGCCACCCTGGAGCCTTGGCACGCACTGCTCTCCACTGCATTCTACTTTTTCATAAACATCTTATCTCATCCAACCTCACATAACTCCTAATACTTTGCAGAACCATGAAATTCAACACTCCACCTTCACTGGATAGTTCTTCTTTTTCAAAGCCCAATCTTCCTTAAACTCACTTTATATTACAACAACATTAATTGCTATTTTATGCACATACACAGACAGACTTCTTCACAACTTTACTTCTTGGTAACTTACAAGTGCACTGGTTGACAGCATCCTCAATTAGCAGAGTCATTTCCATATCCTGGACATATACATTGATCAGAAAAGATGACAATTTATTTTTAGACAGACGCAGACTGCATAATTTAAATATATTTCCCATTTGGCAAAAATGGTGTTGTAGCTAATGTATGTACAATATTTCCAAAAACATTGGTACTTTCCCATAAATATCTTCCATATTTTTTTTCAGTGAGTAATAAAAAAGGTTGAGGTGGGATGTGTTTTATCCCACCACATTATATCATTCCTATTTTTCCTCTTTGTTGGATGGCAATCAGGGGCCCTGATGCCAAGCTTTGGAAGCAACAGCATCTGGTTCCTTGGCAGATCCTGCAGGCAGACTTGTTGCCAGCCTCTAAGCTGTGTCTGGGTCTGTTGCATGGTTTGGCTGCAGATGGACTCTCTGGGTTGCCTCGTGCTTCTGGAAGCCAGTCCTGGCTTTCCTTTGATTCTGAGGACTTTACTCATTTTTATTCATTTGTGAAGAAGGGCCCATCCAAATGCTTTATGAAACCCACACTGGAGAACATTAATGGATCAAATTCTGCCTTTGAAAAGGCAGAGGTCAGGGTGTTTGGGGGCAGGAGGCACAGTGTTCTGAGGACGGCCACACACGTGGATGCTTCTTCCCGTGAACTCCTACTCTAAGGAGCTCGGAAGGTGGCCAGTGACGCGTTACCATCTCTCCCTCCCCAGGATGAAGCTGTGTGGTTACCTGGAAAGACAGGAACACTGGAGAACTCAGGCTTCCTCAGATCAGGAAAACCTCCTGTTTCTTTTGTCTTTTAAGTGAATCAGACCCTGAGGAAATGAACATGCATGAGGAAATTCCTGTCATCTTCTCCCCTGTACCATTTCATTGTCCATGTGAGTATGGGATTACACCATGGCTGGAAAGAAGTGTGGACAGTAAGTCTTTAGTCTGAACTGAGCATACACATTCAAGCCAGATCACTTCCACTAATGTTCCCTGAGACTCTGGTCTCTAGGGAAGGGCTTTCCAATTTTCCTAGAATTATGAAACCCTATCACCACTGAGTTTGTTTATCACTCTGATCCACTATAAAATTCTGTGCCCCCCCACACACCTACACTTTAATGAAAATATAATTTATTTTATACTAAGGATTATTATATATTTCATGATATTTCTTGAGTGTGTTCGTATTCTTCCTGATTCATTTATTAACAGCTATTTATTGAATACCTATTATTTGTTAAACACAAAATCCTGCTCTCATGGGATTTACTTTCTACTAGGGGATACTGGGAAATAAAACAATGATCAAATCAGTTCACAAGGTAGTTTTAGGTAGTGGAAGTGCTGTTAGAAAACTAAAGCAGTGATTTGATAAAGTGTTTGTGGAGTAAGAAGAGAGCTATTTAAGACTCTGATGCTTCCGGGGATCTACGCAAAGAAAATGAAATCGCCGTCTCGAAGAGATGTCTGTATTCCTATTTTCACTGCAGCATTGTTAACAATGGCCAAGACATAAAACCAACCTAACTGTCAATGGATGAATGGAAAAAGAAGATGTGGTGTGTGTATATGGACATATCCTGGACATATACATTGACCAAAAATATGACAGTTTATTTTGAGATAGACACAGACTCCAAAATTTAAATATATTTCCCATTTGGCAAAAATGGTGTTGTACTAACGTATGTAATGTGTATCTTTATACACACACACACACACACACACACACACACACACAATGAAATATTATTCAGCCTTGAAAAAGATGTAGATCCTGCCATTTGCAACAACATGAATGAACCTGGATATCACTATGCTAAGTGAAATAAGCCAGACACAGAAAGACCAATACTGCGTGATTTCTCCTCTATGTGGAATCTAAAAGAGTGGAACTCATAGAAACCAAGTAGGAGGGGGCTTATCAAGGGTCAGGAGTCAGGGAAATGGGGAGATGTTTGTCAAAGGGTACAAACTTGCAGCTATAAATTGAATAAGTCCTGGAGACCTCATGTATCGCATGGTGACTATAGGTAGTAATAATAACATATTGCATACTTAACCCTTGCTAAGTATTCTTACTACAGACACACACAAAAAGGTAACCATGTGAGGTGGTAGATACATTCATTCGCTTGATTGTGGCAATCATTTCACCATGCATGCATATATCAAAACATCACGTTATACACCTTGAATATATATCATTTTTATTTGTCAGTCATGCCTCAGTCAAGCTAGGGGTGGAGGGAGAGATTGATTGGGAAGGATTGCCCGAGGAAATGACATTAGATCTAAGACCGAGACTCCAGAAAAGATCCAGCGATGGCCTAGGAGGACCTAGAAGAGGAAATAACAAAGGCAGAGGCAGTGATGGGGAAGAGTCTTTGAACATCTGAAGTCCAGAAAGACGAAAGACATTACCCTAGAGGTCTAGGGGAAGAGGGGCGGGACCGCGATGGAGGGCTAGGCAGGGGCCAGGTCATGTCGCGCAGGCTGCGTCATTGCGGGTCATGGGAAAAGGCTTGGAGTTTATTCTAAGAGCAGTGGAAGCCACTGGTAGTTTTAAGTAGGGGAATAACAAGATTAATTTACATGTTTAAGAAAAGTCACCATGACTACTGGGGAGAGGAGTAAGAATAGGAGAAGGAACCAGTTGGAAGGTTGTTAGAATAGTAGGTAAGTTGGTTTCAGGTAATAACGATGATATTAACATTTACTGAGCACTTACTATGTGTTAGGGACTGGGTATGCTTTATCTTAAGTGATTTTCATAAAACCCTCTGACTTAGAGATGATCTCCCCCCATTTGATAGGTGAAGAAACCATAGGATTTCAACCTGTATATGTCTCATTTGGGTAGGCATGCTGCCTATTCATGCTATGAAACCAAACTGGAATAGACAGCATTACTTTATTGTTTCTGTATGCCTTCAAATCAGAAAGAGACGATGTTAAAAATAATACATTCAGGCCAGGGGCAGCAGCACACACCTATACTTCCAGCACCTTAGGAGGCTCAAGTAGGAGGATCACTTGAGTCCAGGAGTTTAAGACTAGCCTGGGTAATGTAGTGAGAAGACCCTGTCTCTACAAAAAATTAAGACAATTAACTGGGCACAGTGGCTTGTGTCTTTGGTCCCAGCTACTCAGGAGGCCGAAGTAAGAGGATCACTTGAGCCCAGGAGGTCAAAGCTACATTCAGATATCAAAGCCTTACATGTCAATTAAGTGAACAATGTTCTTTCACAAGCTCTATTTGGGATTGAAAAAAAATACTATAACAGATGTCTCTCAGAAAACAAAAAGAACTCAGACAGCAATCTCAGGTAATCAAGGCTTATAATACCTTTTTAGGCAATTAAGGATGATAAATGCAATTCTATTTCAAATCCCCAAAAGCTGGATTTTCCCAGATGTGCTCACACAGGCTTCACTCCTAAACTCCAATGACTTTTTAAAATGCCCTTATGTTTGAAATGTACCTGTAGGACATGGAAAATAATTTCTTCCCCTGAATTTATCAAATGGTCTGTTTCATACTCTTTTAGTCACCAAAGTTATCTCTTCACTGGAGCTGAAAACTCCCAGAGAGACTGAGAAAATTACGTTCTAATAGGCCCAGAATTAGCAAAGGGCTCTGGCAAGCAAATACGAATATTCACTCTTGCACATGTGACAAAAAACACAAAAGAACTATAGGATCCCATCACTGCCACAGAAACAGGCCGGACTAACGGGGGACTGGGCAGTGCAGCATGTGAACTGTCCGCTGAGCGCTCAGGGATTTTCACACCCAAGGTAATCTCGGGCAGAAGAACTCTGTTCTCAGATCATCAAGACTTAGCTAACTTTATGAACTCTTCTTTTTAGAAAATCACTGCAAATGCAAGCGCCCATTACTTTCGTATTGGTTCCTAGTTCCAATCTCCCATTGCCTTCTATAGTAGCAGAAATATGTGCTAGCAAAGTGACATTAAACATCATCAAACTCCCACTCATTAGTCTAAATAAGCCTAATCTAATTAATGTAAACTAAAGTCGTTGTTTTTAACCTTTACTGAGTAATCGGACACCTTCCCCATGATGATGTGCTTATTTGGACTCAAATAACCACTTTCACACAATCAGAAATTCCTTTCCTTTTCTTTTTGGTTAAGTGTTTGACTAAACTGGTCATTTGTCTGAATGTATCCTTCGGTTTAACTGAGAAAGCAGAGCCAATTGTGTATATATGCTCAATTATAGTATTGAAATCACTTTCCAGTCCATTTTTTACTAGTATCATCATTATTAGTAAAATATTTTTATAATATTTTGCTACAAAAAAAAGAATAAAATATTTCCTTTATTCTAACACTTTGTATACCCCATCTAGGAATAAATGCTTCCTCAGAAATTCTGCCACTTGGTTTCTGTCCATTGAAAACGTTATGTCAGTTTAAGGTCTTCTGGACTGGTCCTGACCACTTATTAATGAAATACAGCTAGTTTCACATCCTCATTATCACATATATTAGGATCCAGGCACAATGACCTTGAGATTCCTCATTTAGGCCAGAGCAGTGACTATTACCATTCTAACAAAAATACTACAGACCTGGTGTGGTGACTCACGCTGTAATCTTAGTGCTTTGGGAGGCCAAGGCGAGAGGGTAGCTGAAGCCCAGGAGTTCAAGATCAGCCTTGGTAACATGGAGAAACCCTGTCCCTACAAATTACAAATAAATATTTTAAATAATTTTTACAAATAAAAATAAAAGTTAGCCATGTATGGTGGCACACCTGCAGTCCCAGCTACTCAGGAGGCTGAGATGGGAGGATGGCTTCAGCCCAGGAAGTCGAGGCTGCAGTGAGCCATGAGCACATGACCACACTCCAGCCTGGGTGACAGAGTGGGACCCCGTCTCAAAACAAAACAAAGCAAAGCAAAACAAAACAAAACAACCATACAAAACAAGAAGGGGGGTGGATTTGAAGAATAGCTTGTCTCCTTTTTTTTTTTTGTGGGGGAGATGGAGTTTTACTCTTGTTACCCAGGCTGGAATGCAGTGGTGCGATCTCGACTCACCGCAAACTCCGCCTCCTGGGTTCAAGCGATTCTCCTGCCTCAGCCTCCTGAGTAGTAGCTGGGATTATAGGCACGTGCCACCAGGCCCAACTAATTATATATTTTTAGTAGAGACCAGGTGTCACCATGTTGGTCAGGCTGGTCTGGAACTCCCGATCTCAGGTGATCCGCCAGGCTTGGCCTCCCAAAGTGCTGGGACTACAGACGTGACCCACTGCACCTGGCCGTCTCCTGTGTTCAACAGGCCCAGAACCATTCTAGAACATTTAACTTCCTGACCTCAAAGCTACTAGGTTCTGGGTTTCTTCTTTTTTATATGGAGTTCTTGGAAAATGTGGTATTGGAGTTACAGTGGTTAGAATCAGTTCCCAGAACGGGATCTGGTCAGAGAGGCGGCTGTCAGAGCCCCAGCCTCCCAGCTGGTGTTCCTCCTCCTTGGTGACAGCCTCAGCTGGGGTTTTAATAGTATCTTGAGTTTCACGTTACAGCATTCTGTGGACAGTCTGTGGCATGGTTTACAATGAAAAATCTTTCAGGACCATGTGCTCTCCTGATGTTTCATCTTGGTGTTGTTGAGGGGAGTGACACCGCTGGTCCCTAGTCCCAGAGCCCACACACACAAGCACACACACAAGCAAGGCGGAGTCTGCGGAGTGTTGGAAGGTTTTCGTCTCCCTGATAAACAGCCCAGATGAGACTGGAGCAAAAAGTCAGAGTCCCAACTACTCCACTGAGATGGTCTTAGTAAACACCGAGAAACGGGCCTCCCCTCCCCTCCCCTTCCTTTTCCTCTCCCTCTCCCCTGCCATCCACTCCCCTCCACTTCTCTTCCTTCTTCTCCCCTCTCCTCCTTCCCCATCTGAAAGTTCTCATCCACTCCCTGCTCTTTGATGCCGGGAGGCACTGTAAGGACCCGCTGGCCCTGCGGCTCCCTCAGGTAGATGCGGCTCTTATTCTATGCCACTCTCCTGATAGCACCTCCTCGTCACTTTTCTCTAAACGTTGGGGTACTCCAGGAC